TCTCACAACAAAGTTCTGGAGCATTATCAACTGCAAATTTCCCCAACTGTATCAAAGTAATGTAACTGACTGGAGAAAAGAAAATGCATAGACAGGAGATTGTATGGTAGTGCTTGAAATAGTGAGATTATTTGGCAACCTAAAATCAGTTGGCCAATGTGATTTTACAGAGAGTATAGATTCTTAATTTGATAGGGAAGGTCTCCTATAGACCTACTCTTTAGTCTATACAAGTGTTCCCAAACGTTTTTGGGCCCACCAACTGGCAAAATTTCATAAATTTGTGTTTACAAAGTTTCTGCTTTTTTTGCAAAAAATTAATAACCAATGAAGCAGCTATAGTGGAATATCTTCAAAAATTAGAAAGGTGGACTTGAAGAAAAGTCTCTCAGGAGGAAAAAATTTCAATAATTTATTTCAGCAGGTAGGTGAAAATCTTCTCTAGTGTTGGGAAAATTTCCAAGTGTTATAAAATCCAAAATTTCAGAAAGAAAAAAAACAACAGGCTTCATTGCCACTTCTGATGAATTTACTATGCTGCAGACCAGCAAACAACTTCTGAGAACCAGCACCAGTCCCTGGACCATGGGTTCAGGAACACTGGTCTATATTAAAAAACATTTTGAAATTTTGGAAACATTGAAGCTTGATCAGAAATAGAACCATGGGACTCAAAAAATGAGAGAATCAAAATGCAACAATTGAAAAGTATACCTGTACAATATTACTGTAATTGTTTTCCTGTCAATTGACATGTTGGTCAAATTAAGACGCATTCAACAGTCACATTATGGTATATTATCTTTAGAAACTGAGCACAAAATTAAATTAGTTCTGAATTTCCATTTTGGAGATGGAGATGGACTCTCTACAATGGTTATGTTTTTTTTTTCAATGTCCAATGGGATTTTCTCCAAATGCTAAAGGGGTTTTCTGCAACAAAATTCTCCCAACAATAATTTTTTCCTGGTCCCTTGAATTTTGCTGCAGAAAATCCGCCTGTATTAAAAACAAGTCTGCGTTTTCCTCATAAACCCTGCTTTGCTTTACTGCAACTAAATCAGGATTTTTGACACAATGTTCATTCATATCTCAAAAATTACTTCAGGAATGGAGCACTCCGTCATCCTAGAAACTGAGCCCTGGGGACTAGGACTTGATGAAATACTGCTTCCGGAGTACTTAGCCCCTCTGGGCTACACACGTCATATCGTCGGCAAATGGCACCTTGGGTTTTTTCAAAAAGAGTACACGCCCACGTACCGCGGATTTCAGACCCACTTTGGCTACTGGTCTGGGAAGCACGACTACTGGTCACATTTCTCTGAAAAATACATCGTGAGTTCCACAAATCCCATTTCACACTGCTCATCATATACTTCCTTGCAAAAACAGGATTTAGACAATGTTGACGTCATCTGAACTGAATGGAACCTGAACGGCAAAAATTCTTTCGAACAATTCATAAAATGTACAATGCTGTACTTCACAACTCAGATGATGCAGAGTATCTTGAATAACATATTCTTCAGCACAAAATCGATTCTTAGTACAGTACACCCGTATATCTTCAATTGTGCACGTTTATATTGCAGTCGAACAATTTTTTCATGACTGGTCTCGACATGCGGCTGAACATGGAACCAGCTCACAATACAACTGGACGTTACACCACTGATCTTTTGACAGAAGCAGCTACTTTGATCATTCAACATCACAAGGTGGACGAATCCCCGTTGTTCTTGTACTTGTCGCACTTGGCTGTTCATTCAGCAAACAAGGAGCAACCCCTGCAAGCTCCCAAAGAAGTTGTGGACCAATTTTCTCACATAAAAGATGAAAAACGTCGAACATACGCTGGTAAATCCAACAAATTCATCAAAATTAAAGACTTCAAACACATACAATAAAATTGATCATTACACAAACTTGCTGGCACTTCAGAAAAAGTTTGTTATACTGAATAATTTGTTATAATATTTTCAACATTAATTACCAGAAGTTCTTTTACATCAAGTCCTGCCTATAATCAAAGAGTTCTTGATTTGCTGGCATATTCTCAGATTCTTTATCATTGCTTGAAATTATTAAAAAATTAGCTTCAATCATGCATTCTATTCAGTTGCATCAATCTATTCATTCTGGAAGGATGAGTGTGAAACCACTTTTAAACATGTTTGTTATTCATTACAGCTTCCTTCCATGCTACAAGAACCATTCAGTCACATTCAAGATCAGAATTTTCAGATTGTGCATCTGGAGAATATATTGTCAAACATTCCTCAAAAATGTTTGTTTACACTGGAACTGGGAAGTTTTTTGTAACAAGATTCTTTCAAGAACCATTCAGTCACATTCAAGATCAGAATTTTCAGATTGTGCATCTGGAGAATATATTGTCAAACATTCCTCAAAAATGTTTGTTTACACTGGAACTGGGAAGTTGTTTGTAACAAGATTCTTGCATCATGAACTCTATGGGCTTTCTGCCAAAACGTGCGAAACAGTTCGTTATACTGAAAAATATATTGTACGGTATTTGTTGTTACAAGATTCTTTTGTATCATGATGCAGCCATGGTTGCAAAATTGGACGAATCAGTTGGAAGGGTTGTAGAGGCCTTGGCGCAAAAGAACATGCTCAACAACACAATCCTGATTTTTTCGACGGACAATGGCGGAGCAGCTGCGGGATTCAACTACAACGCTGGGTCCAACTGGCCTTTACGCGGGGTATATCAGACGTGAATTTTAATTTCTGTGAACCCATCAGAAATGTCAACAGAAAATACACTATGTTCCAGGTTAAGAATACGCGCTGGGAAGGAGGTGTAAAGGGAGTAGGCTTCATTTGGAGCCCGCTGCTCAAAGTGCATGGCGTCAGATCCGACAAAATGATGCACATTGTTGACTGGCTGCCAACCTTACTTTCTGCCGCAGGTCAGGTTTATTTTTAATTTTTAAATGAATTGTTGTTGGGCCAATTTGTCAAACTATAGTTTTTGATTGCAGGCGTCAAACGGTCTGACCTTCCGCCAGATTTGGACGGTATCAGTATGTGGGAATCTTTCTTAGAAGAGCCCAATTCTGACCATTTGCCACGATCAGAAATGCTCATCTCACACGATCCGCTTTATGGAGTTTCCGTATACAGATACGGTTATTGGAAAATCTTGAATGGTGAGTCTTTGCGTCAGTAACATTTTCTGTGAATTGCATAAATTTCTCCAGTTATCTGTGAAAGTTCACGGAATAACACCGTGATTAAAATTTTGCGCAACAATTGACAGAACTGAATACCTGCATCACTGAAATTAAATTATCACAGGTCAAGGAATTGGGACATAGTTGATTTTAATTTTGATGCTTTACAAAAATCCAAAACTATTGAGAAATCAAATATGCTCCTGTCAATTAATCTTGTCTTCAATAGCCCGCAAACAAGACTCAAGTTTCCTCAAAATGCTTCTGATAAATGAAACACAAACTCAACAAAGACATGATTAACTTTTTTGGGACATTAGCTAGGTGAAATTTATGCCTCCGAAGGAAATTTCGATTGTTTTTGAGAAGAATAAGAATTTTATTTTGTATCATACCTATTTTTCACGTCATTCACGCTCTTTTGATAAATCATAAACCCCTTCCAACTGCCAACCCCGTTAAACCGCCACAAACAAATGATAGGAGGCTAGCAGATGTTTGACTGTAAAAACAATCCCTCATCTGAACCTGGTGTATGGTATTACTGAAATTATGAGCTTCCAAACAGGAACAAGTCGATCAAGAGAACCTCATTGTTATGACGCTTGGTTATAAATCTTGCTCTTCTCATGTGCACTCCATCTTTTGGAGGATAAAATACCCTATTCTTCCCACAAAATCAATACATTGGTCTGTTTAATGCGCAACATTCTATAATGCATCAGGAACAACCTACGATGGATGGTGGGATGGGTGGTATGGACCAGCTGAACAAGGAACATCTCAAGACACGAGTGCAGTTGAAAACNTTCTGTTTTGACAAACAGGTGACAATTGAGGAAAACCCAGGAGATGAAGTCACGAACGTCCAATGCCCGAATTGCCAACGGATGTCACTCGCATCTTATGGATTCAGGCCACATCACAATTCCACGATTCAACGAAAAGTCCCTCAAGATTAATGTCATGAAGTCGCTTCAACAAGATTTCTGTGCAAAACAAATCTATTCAAATTGCTAAGGATGATATTCTTTCAACATTCCTGGATATTGTGGCCATGGAACCTCTTTAAAAGATGTACTGTTCAGCAGTTGCATTGAAATCCTGTCAATCCACAGCAAATCCTGAGAAGATCAAGCAACTTATTCCAGTGGAAAAATGCAATTGATACGGCTATGGAAACTACATTAATCAAAATGAGTTCATTTCACATGTGATACGTGCATTTTGACACTTCGCTGATCCATTATTGTGCATTGCTAATCTTTAGCTTGCATAATAAATGCAGTCATATGCACAGGATATTGCAGCCAATTTACGGTAATTCAAGTTTCATTGCAAAATTCAGCTCACTTCATCCTTCAGAAATAACGCTATGACTTTTTAAATCATTTGAATTTCAAGAGGTTTCACAAATACTGCATCACATCACCCTAGTTTGTTCAATGATGGAATAATTGAAAAGTAACCGTAAAAATTGTATTGTGAAATCTAACAAGGGGAAAAAATTTTGCCTGTTCAATACAGTTACAGTACATCAAAGAAGCCGCATCTAATCCAGTCAGCAGCAAACTAAATAAATGGGACTAGAATGCAAGAAGCCATACCTCCAGAATAAAAAAGATGCAGTCATTCTCGATTCTTGTTCAATACAGTTACAGTACATCAAAGAAGCCGCATCTAATACAGTCAGCAGCAAACTAAATAAATGCGACTAGAATGCAAGAAGCCATACCTCCAGAATAAAAAAGATGCAGTCATTCTCGATTCAACACCACACTCATTTAGATCAACTAATCTCAGTCAAACAAATCTTCCCCATTATTTCAAATCATTACTGCACTTAAAATACCTTCAATTTGGAGTGAGCTTTCCTAAGTGCCAAGAAATGTAGTTGGAAGGATGATTGCACTTAACCAAGGTTTGTTCGTATTGCTTTTCACGAATCTGTGCGATTTTTTGGACATCTACGCACATGAATGCTGATCTATACAAAACAGCGACCAAAATTTCAACGCTGTGATTTTGCCCAGGTCTACGTAAACCCACGGTTCGTAACAAATGAACTGTAAATCTCCACATTGATCTGTTCCGTCACATACATTTCCCGTTATTGCCAATAAGTCACAATTGATAATGATGAACCTTTGTTTCACTTTCGGCGTCAAAATACCAAATTTTATCCTCCCTTTCCCCCATAGTTTGCTAGTGTATATTCCTCGGGTTCCATGGTGTTTTTTGCTAAAACCAGATCAACTTCGACTTCATCCAGGCAGGAGCAGGGACGCGGAAAACCAACAGTGCCCGCCGCTCCGCTTCGCTGGGCGGAAATATCCTTTCGGTTGCCGGAACGCGAGCTTGTTCATATACAACACCACACATTTGTTCCAATCATCATCTACAGAAAATTGATCAGATTTCATTTTCAAGCTCTGGTGAAGAAAGTTGACATGGAAAAAAGAAACGGAGCAAGCCGTATTCGAATTTCCGGTCGATTTTTCTGCAGCTGCTGTTCAGTCAACATCTGCATAAAACCAAACATACTGTCAACTTATTGTCAATGGACTCACCCTTTACATTATTCATGGGTTTTCTTGCATACCATATTTACTTGAGTGTCAAGGCCAAAATTAAGAAGATAAGAGGGTGAACTTTTTAATCAATTTCCAAAGACAATTAAAAAGTGGAAATAAAAATTCACATTCAATACTGTATGACTAAAATTCAAGTCAAATTTAAATTCTGATTCATTTTATTCTTAAAATGCAGTACTGTACAGTCAATCCCCACACAACAGACTTACTTAACCCCTAACTTCAAGTTCAGCATGCTGTAAACTCAATTAAGAAATTATTTTTAAGGCCCGGAATATCACTATTTACACTTCCCTGCATTTCTTTCATATGCCTTGCAAAAAAAAGATGCTTGTTTCCCTATAGAAACCTCCTCAAGTCAATTTTTTTAAATTTCCCTTGAAATTTGACTTAGAGATGTTCAAACTGGTGTTGCTTGTGCAGGATTTCAGGACTGTTACAGAAAATGTTATTGAAATATTGCACTGATGTTCCTCAAGACAAAGACCAGCGTCTGCCCGTCGTCAGCTCCGACCATCAGCAGCTGTGCTTCACAAAACCCCGGAACTGCAGCAGCCAAGTCCAGAAACAGCAACCCCTGATGTTCACCCACCTCTTCATCAGAAAGCCGAAATTGCTTCCGAGAACACCTCATCATCAGCAGAGCCGCCGCCCTCGTCCTCAATAAAGGCCAGACTTGGCCCAACGAAGTCCCTGCGAAGGCCGAAAAGCGCCGCTACTCTCAGCAGTGGCCCGCCTCCATCAAGGGCGAAAAACGCCGCCGCTGCTGCTGCTGCTGCTGTCAGTCCCACCAAATCCTCTGCATTGCCACCACCACAACCACCACCAACAAGAACGTCTCCTACACTGTCAACAAATACTGGAGGAGGTGTTCGGGAAAGGCCGATCACAGCTGACTCCGCATTGCGTTCGAAGACCGTTGGTGAGCAAGAGCCGAAGCAAGAGCAGGTGTTAATTAGGCGACAGAATCAGCCGATCGCCTGGCAATTCGCCAAGTTGCCTGCCAATGACGGGGCCAACAGTCCGTATGGCCTTTCAGCTCAACAACTGGAACAGCGCAACCAGTGAGTTGATCATTGTATGTTTCCAAATAAAATAAACTGAATGAGTAATTCACAATGATGTTGCACATGTACAAATGTTGATTCATATACTGTACATTCTGAGACTTTTGAAATATAGATCCAGTGGAGTTCAAACAATTTCAAAAATCATTTTTCTGCTCGCCCATCATTTGGTAACACTTCAGTGCTGATCACCAGCATACTCTCCGCGGATTTCAATGCTTTTTTTAAA